GAACTGGGTGAGAAACTTGGCCCGAACTTGGGGGGGAGAAAATTGGCCCTGAACTTGGTGAGAAACTTGGTCACTGAACTTGGGGGAGATCTTTGGTCAATGAACTTGGGGGAGAAACTTGGCCCACTGAATTGGGTGAGAAAAATTTGGGTCACTGAAAATTGGGTGAGAAACTTGGGGTCACTGAAATTGGGGGGGAATACTTGGCTTACTGAACTTTGGGTGAGAAACTTGGCCCACTGAACTTGGGTGAGAAATTGGGCCCACGAACTTGGGTGAGAAATTTGGGCCCCACTAAATTTGGGGTGAAAATTTGGCCCCTGAATTGGTGAAAAATTGGCCACTGAACTTGGGTGGAAATTTGGGCCCCACTGAACTGGGGTGAGAAATTTGGCCACTAAAAACGGGGGTGAGAAACTTGGCCCACTGAACTTGGGTAGATATTGGCCACTGAACTTGGGTGAGAAACTTGGCTCCCTGAATTGGGGGTTAAATTTGGGCCCCACTGAATTTGGGTGAGATACTTGGCTCCTGAATTTGGGTGAGAAACTTGGTCATGAATTTGGGGAGAAATTGGCTCACTGAACGGGTGAGAAACTTGGCCCATGAACTTGGGTGAGAATTGGCCACTAAAAAACTTGGGTGAGAAACTTGGCCCCATGAACTTGGGTGAGATATTGGGCTCATAACTTGGGTGAAAAATTTGGGCCCCCACTGAACTTGGGTGAGAAATTTGGCCCGAATTTGGGTGAGAAACTTGGCCCATGGTCCTGAACTTATTCTCATTTCTTGGATTGAATTTGTTTGCCTCTTACGTTCTCCAGGACCTGTGTTATTCCTATAGTAATTTCTATCTTCCTCATTCTTCCTGCAACCTCTCCTTCTCATTCCTTCTCACAGGGGCGGATCTACTGTGAAACTAGCGAACCTGAAGCTTCAGGGCCCCTAACCCCTGAAGGGCCCCAGAAGCCGCGTTAGTTCACGTTCTTAAAATTTTGGGGTCTACTATACGAAACTTTTTCTAACAAACTAACGATATTAATAATATAGTGTAACTCAATACAAAATAATAGTTAAAATGAAAATGAAAAGATTTTAAAGTATATGAAGAGTTTTAAATAAAAGATTAAATTTAACTGTGGTCTTTTCTGTTTTTTTTCATTATTCTATGAAGCATCATGCATGTAATTTTGAGAAGTATCGGATATCCGCATCCGCATCCGTATCCGCATCCGCATCCGTTCCGCATCCGCGGGAAAACCGCGCAAATTTTTTTACATCCCATCGCTCCCATTTTCCATAAAAAAAATTCCCATATGCATCCGTACACAAAATAAGAGACCTTTATACACTCTAAAAACCCTGGTATCTAAATTTTCACATCCCAACATCTCTAACATGTATATAAATTTCCCTAATTTTTCACCCCCCCCAAATCGAAAAATAAGGGGGTGAGAAAATTTATTCACACCAGTATTTGAATGTGAGTAATCCAGTACAGCAATTTTTAACAAAATCTTAGATGTAGTGGGTTTAAATTTTTATAGAAAATTTTGGGCACTCATTGAAGAAGATAAAGTGGTTTCCTAGACCCCGTTTTGGGGTTTTTTTGGGGACTGCCATAAAGTTCAACGATTTTCCTTTGTTCTATGGTCAAGAAGGGGCCAAATGCAGTTTGGGCTGTGAATTGTATCTTTGATATAAGCAACCCTCACTTGGCTAGAGATGGTATGGGGTGTCATTTAGGTGTAGTTTCGCCAACCCAACCTCTCCAACCCTTTTCCCCAACATTTTCCCCCGTCCTCCAACATTTACCCCCATTCCAATTTCAAGCTCACGTACCCTCTCCAACCCGGCAGCTGTGTCGGCATGTTATTGCACAGCTCGGGTATTCTGGCAGCTCCTCTTATAGAGTTGCCAGTTTCAAATCATTAATAACTACGTTTTTTTTCACGGTAAAGTAAAAACCACAATTTTAAAATGTAAAATTCAATAAAAGGCCCCAAAACGACAGAATAAGCCACCTGATCGCCTGGGATATATATTTTTGCTATTGCTGACAGAGGGTAGAGTCAGCTCAGCGGTGGTTCCTGGTGAATGTAAGAAGACCGAAGCGTCTGCCAAATATTGTTAAGGTATTCTGAGAAGGAGGGTGCGTCACTGCCAGGGGAAAGAGGGAGGGGGCAAGGAAGAAGCTAGGGAGGAGGAGGCCAAAACCATCCTCCTTCGCCTCTACCCACCTTCCCCCAACACCCACTACAACAAGGTTTCCGCTCAGCCTAATTATAAAAGCATTAACGGAGTGGTGGGCGAGGTAAGCCGCTCACTCTGAGCCAGTGGGAGGACATCACCACAGGTAATACCGCGTTGTATTCACCACGCTCACAGTGTTGTCATTACCCTCTGCAGTATCCCTTCCTTCTGCAAGACGAATTTCGTAATACAGACACTTCAGAAAGACGAAGAGATCTATCGGAGACAAACGACCTGAAACTCATTGAAATGTGTTAATAAGATGCCAGACTTTAACACTTCTCACAGAAAATTACATTACGTAATGTAAAGAAAAATAACGTAATTACGTAATTACGTAATTACGTAATTACGTAATTCGTAAGCCATGGTAATACCCACCTCGTCTTGCGCTATGATCTACCTTATGGATATTGGAAGAAAAAATACAATTAATTTATTCAAGAAAAGCAGTAGGCCCGGGTAGGCCTATCTGAGCAAGTACAAATTAAAGTGGTCACTCGCCTAATGAAAATTCATATAAAAATAATCGATTTTTTTTCGTAAATCTATAGATTATATTTTCGAAAAAACTTCTGAAGTGTGACGCAACTTTCACGACTCTCGGTACGTGAGACACACCAGGGAAGACTCTCGGTACGTGAGACACACCAGGGAAGACTCTCGGTACGTGAGACACACCAGGGAAGACTCTCGGTACGTGAGACACACCAGGGAAGACTCTCGGTACGTGAGACACACCAGGGAAGACTCTTGGAACGTGAGACACACCAGGGAAGACTCTTGGAACGTGAGACACACCAGGGAAGACTCTTGGAACGTGAGACACACCAGGGAAGACTCTTGGAACGTGAGACACACCAGGGAAGACTCTTGGAACGTGAGACACACCAGGGAAGACTCTTGGAACGTGAGACACACCTGGGAAGACTCTTGGAACGTGAGACACACCAGGGAAGACTCTTGGAACGTGAGACACACCAGGGAAGACTCTTGGAACGTGAGACACACACCAGGAAAGACTCTTGGTACATAAAACCCGTCAGGCGAGTTGTTACCGGACTCCAGCAGGTGTCTGAAGCTTCATACGGACGAGGATAGTGTTATACGGACGAGGATAGTTTTATACGGACGAGGATAGTCTACTAACCATAGGCTAGGTAAAAGGACGTTAATGTGTGTCACAAAGCTTTTCCCAACAGGTGTACGTCAATTTATATTTATATTCATATAGTTTATATGGACATGATACATAGTTGTACAAGGAATTATACTAGTTGGGTGAACATGTCAAAGCCCCTTGTATGCAGAGCATTATGAGCAGGATTAAAATTAACTTATAATTAACAAGCAATGAACGGTTTAGTGGTAAAAATTACCGTAAACAATTTACAACATGAAGTACAATTGAGTATTTGAAGCGATGAAATTTGAACATTTCTGGCAAAAATACGAACGACTTTTCAGTACGGAGCTCTCTACCCGAACTCTAGCGGCGGGTCGTCATATGTCAGGAAACACTTGTCCTGCTCCCTGACAAACCTTACCTGACTTAACTTCTACTGAATAGACACGTCCAGACTTCAGAGAGAAGGTTCTGGTTCTCGCTACGAGACCTAAGAGGAATGATCTACTAGTAATGACCACTGACCTGTAGTCCAATCTGGTCACAGACCTGCAGTCCAGTCTGACCACAGACCTGCAGCCTAGTCTGGCCACAGACCTACAGTCCAATCTGACCACAGACTTGCAGTCCAATCTGGGCACAGACCTGTAGTCCAGTCTGGCCACAGACTGGACTGCAGAGAAACTCTGAAAGGGTCACAAGTATACCATAACTATTGCAGTAATGTTCGTAGAATTGCCGACAATATGCTAGGAGCTTTGTCAAGCCGTAATCAACTGTAACGACTTGACAAAGCTCCTGGAGAGCGAAACGTTGCCACAATAAAATGTCACATTAGTTGCACTTGTGTCCTTTTACTTAACATATTGTCAGTAATTCTACCAACATTAATACAAGAGAACAGAGACCCAGGGAGCACATAATGATGTTGGACAACATATAAAGTCTCATGACGCATACAGCAACGAGCTTATTTGAATAAGGAACAAGAGAAAGCGATATATTATTATTATTATTATTGTATTACATCTAAACGATGAGGTAAATCCGTAGCGGTCAATATACAACGCCCGTTGAACAAGTACCAGAGGACACGTCCAGTTCCTTGGATCAGGAGGCCCTCACCAGTATCCAAGGGTGGAAAGAAGAGGAACGATCTGGGAGATGCGAAGGAAGCCGATGATTCAATACACAGCTTTAGAAGTAGGTGTGAGGGGGAGCCATGAGGCTAGGAATTTAGAATGAATGTAATCGACAGCCGGACCCCCCCTAACTTAATTGCAGTCAGACACGCACATTAAGATGCAGCATCAGAGGCGCATACTCGACCCTTGCAACCACTATTAGGTGAGTGCACACAAACACACGTACACACATACACCACCCAACTTGGCACTCATAACCCAGCTCATCTCCAATAAATGGCAACTGGCACCTCCCTGCAATACATTTTACTGTCTCAGTCGAACAGTTGGTTGACAGGGCACCACCACGGTAGGACGGCCACACCCACTACTGATTTTTAAACTGAATAACGATAAAAACACCTCAGTCTGCCGACACATATTTTGCTCTCTGTGTAACTTGGAGAGTGATTAATTAAGTCGTGGTATTGTTGCAGGACGGGAGTGCACACCACCCCTGCAGGAGCAACAGCAACAACCTCAGCGGCTCCGCTGGTCAACGGCAGCCCGGCTCACGCTACCCCCTCGGTGCCAGTCTCCAGCGTTCACCCGCTACCTGGCGCCGCTCCCAACACTAGCGCTCGCCCTGAGGTAAGTCACACCCACCATTGCCCTACTCTCCCTCTCTCTCATACTTTCATTATCGATCTCTCTCCTTAAAACATCCATTCTTTGCTTATACTGTCTAGTAATTTACTATTATTTTGTCCGGGAAACATACGTATTAGCCCACTTTCCCGTTTTTTTTCTTTTCCACAATGAACTTTGCCCCAGATTTGCCTAGTTGAAGGATATCGTTTTGGGTTGTTCCCTCGCAGTGTCTCTGTACCATTCGCTGGTCCCTCAAAGGGACAAAATTCGCTTTAGCTTCGCTAGTGAGACAAGAGTGTCGCATACGTGAGAATACAGTAACGACCTTCGTCAGTGAATTGTGGTCACTTGTGAAAGTTTTGCGAGAAATGAATCTTATTACAAGAAAACAATAACGAATAAAGGGTTTTGGCTGTGTTAATAGGGGCCTTTAAAAAGTCTTTAAATAGGCCTGAGAAGCCATTATTTTTTTAAAAACCGACTACCCACCAACATTACAAGAAGTCTTCCCCCAAAACTGACCCCCTTTCGGGGGCCATAGTTGTAAAATTTCTGTACTGGGATAAAAGTAGCGGGAAATTTAAAAACTTTAAGTTATAGGGAAATGCCCCAGCTGAGCTGTGTTTTAAAACCGTCATGAAAAAAAATTTTTAATTTTTCCTGTGTTTGGGAAAAACTGCGTGTGTGTTTTGAGGAGGACAGCCACCCCTAGGGTTCGTTTTTTCATACACTGAAATAGATTTTATTTTAAAAAAATTTCCCCTTTGGTAAAATCAATTTTTTGGGGCCAAATTTTAAAAATGCCCCTTTATGGGGGTATGTATACTCACGGGGGGGGAGTGCCCGACTGTCATTACTTTTCTTTAAAGGGGCCCCAGTGCTGAATTTTGAGTGGTTTTTGTCTTTTACTTTTTTTAAAAAACCCGGTAGGGTGACTCCCCAACGCTGTTCTTTTCAGAAAGGAATATTCAGTAGCAGGATAAATGGTAGTTTAAAAAGGTCCCTATTATATTCACTTTAAAGATGAGTGACCCCTGCCCCGTTTCCGTCCTCATTTCCCCTTTCGTTTTATGAGGAGATGAGTATCACAGTACAAAACAGTCTTTTGGGGGAGTTATTTTTTCACTCAGAAAGGGTGGTGTACAGGCCCAAAAAAACTCGCCCGTAGGGGCGAGTTAAATTAGTGCTTTTCTCCGCCCTTTTTGTTAAGCGATAACCGTTATGCCACGTCCCCCCCCCCTCCCCTGTGTCAACCCGATTTTTTTTTTGGAGTTCCCTTCCCCTTTCCCGTGAGCTCCTTTTTTTTTCTTGTAAGTTACCCTTTCCTTTTTGTGAGTTACCTTCTCATGGGGAGTTAACTTCCCCTTTATTGGGAAATTTAACCCCCCTCTCTTGTGTGAGTTACCTTTTCCCCCCTTGGGTGAGGGTTTCCTTTTCCCCCTTTTTGTGAGTTACCTTCCCCTCTTGTGTGAGTTACCTTCCCCCCTTGTGTGAGCTTTCCTTCCCCTCTTGTGTGAGTTACCCTTCCCCCCCCTTGTTTTGAGTTACCTTTTCCCCCCATGTGTGGTTACCTTTCCCCCTTGTGTGAGTTACCTTTCCCCCCCGACGAAAAAACTTCATCTGAAAATTGAACCTCTTTATCCTGCATCTTTTTTAAACCATCAAATAATACATAATTTTGATTGAGGAAAAAAAAGTAAAATTGTGGGGAAAGCTTTTAAAAAAGGACTCAGAGCGAGTCAGCCAAACCCCGTCACTACAACCACGTCACTACAACCACGGGACTAAACCAGTTTAAATACAACCACGGCATACAGCCACTGCTTCCGTAATTCCAATATAGAACATGTTGATAAGGGAAATTCTCTGGGGAGAAAATTAAGCCGTGAGGGGATTTCATTATTATTATTATTAATTTTAAAAATCAAAAACCCCCTTTTCAGCTTTAAAATATTTTTTGTAATAATTTAATTTCCACATACGTTTTCTAAAATAATATGCTGCTATGTATGATAATTCTATGTAATGTATTTGTGTATACCCGTAAACTTATTACTTATTACTTACTTATTATCACACATTGCCCTTAGACACGAATCTCCACTATTCCCGCCTCCCCCCTCGCTGCGTATTTCAACCCAAACTTCACACCCCAAAAAGAGGTTGGTCCATTCTTTGACTTCTCTTTTTGCCCCATGGTACGGTGTTTGTCTTAAAATTCTTTAAGAATATTTTTTCCTTCAGAATTCTATGGTTAATATCTATTAAATCTGATAAAAATTATAATAATCTGAAAATTTTTTTGCTAATGTGATATCCATTTTTTGACCCAAAACCCGAAACCCCACTTTTTTTATTTGTTACTTAACTTTCTTTCTTTTTAAAAATAAAATGTTAATTTTTTTGAAAAAAAAAAGTTTTCATAGAAAAAAAAGGGTAATAAAAAAGTTTTGTTTTTATTTTTAATTGCCCCCCAAAATGTTTTTTTTAAACCCATTTAAAATGTTTTCCCAGGGAATTAAAATCCGTTAAAAATTTTTTTTATGGAAAATTTTTTTCCAATAGATTTTTTTATAAAAATTTTAAATTTAGAAAACCTTTCCCTAAACCTTGCAAAATTTAATTGTGTTAAATTTTGCCTTTTAAAAAATTTTTTGGAAAAATCCCCCCTTTTTTTATTGTTCCTTAATGCTTTATGAAAAATTGATTTTTACCCTTAAATTTTAACCGCAAGGGGTTTTAAATTAATTTTTAAAATAAATAATGCCTTACAGTTCCGTAAGTTATTTCCCAGTAATTTTTTCCCCTTTTCCCCAATATAAAGGAATTTATGCGCTCTCTGCCAATCCCCACATCTTCCCCCCTTTTTATGATTTATTTTATAGAACCAACCATTCCCAAAACTAATCCCCCCCTGCTCTTAAATTTATGTCATGATTTCGTTCCAATTATTTACCCCCCTTTTTTTTGTAATGCCTCACGCACCTCCCCCCACATCAATTGATTTTCTTCACTTTAAAAGTTTTATGCCCCCAGGCCAAGCATGAAAATTCTGCCTTCCCTTTTTTAAAAACCTTAAAAAAAACCCCTATATTATATATAATATATTATTTTTATATTATTTTATATTTTTATATATATTTATATTATTATTATGTATATAAATATGTGTGTGTGTGTGTGTGTGTGTGTGTGTGTGTGTGTGTGTGTGTGTGTGTGTGTGTGTGTGTGTGTGTGTGTGTGTGTGTGTGTGTGTGCGTGGTGTGTGTGTGTGTAGTGCATTAAGCCACTTTGCTACGACAGTCATTTGATATATCTGAATTATTTCAATGTCAAACAGTAAACATGCACCTCTTGCACTCAGGAATTTTCCAACAACTGCCAGGCTACTTCAACAATTGTCCCTTAGTACAAAATGCATTCAATCAAGGCTTCCATTTTTTGGTTGAAAACACAGATCACAAGTATTCTTCTGAATATGATAGGAAGCTATAAACAAATAACCCGTACAATTCAGTTTGACATGGAACATTAAGAAGTAGTACTGAAGCGAGAAGGCAAGAATGCCAGATTATATATAAAAGAGTGCGGAGGAAGGGAGTGGTAGAACTGGAGTAGGGAGTAGTAGAGATAGTAATGGTAGTAGAGGTAGTAGTGGAGGTAGTAATGGAGGTAGTAGTAGAGGTAGTAGTAGTAGTAGTAGTAGTAGTAGTAGTAGTAGTAGTAGTAGTAGTAGTAGTAGTAGTAGTATTAGCAGCAGTAGTAGCAGTAGAAGTAGTAGTGGTAGAAGTAGGTAATAATCCAGCAGTGGCAGTAATGAAAAATGGAAAAATGGTAGTGTAGAATTCGTGAAGAAATAAGAGTAGAAGTAGTAGTAATAGTAGTAATAATTATGGTCATAGTAGTAGTAGTAGTAGTAGTAGTAATAACGAAGGTAGTACATAAGAACAGTGGATCACTGCAGGAGAGCTACTGGCCCACGAGTGTAGGATAAAATCCCCTGCGAGACAAAGCCCTCATAGGACAGAACCCACCTAATCATAAAACATGAAATGAAACTATAGGAAAGGAGAAGGGGTAAGGAAGGGAGATAAAGATCAGGTCAAGCTACAGAGCATTTGACAATGTTATGAGAAAGGAAAATATCTACAGAGATAAAGCCAGGACTAAGATTATGTTAAGAATAAGAATTCTTCAAGAGGATGGCGTCTGTGAAGGATAGATGAAGGGTGTCTAGTTTTGACAGAGGACCAGTTAATAAAATGAACCAGTTAATAAAATGACTGTAATCTTTAACATGAGAGAAAGGAACATTGTCAGAGTCGGCAAGTCTAACACTTCTTTTGTGCTCTTTAAGTCTGTCAGAAAGTGACCAGTTTCTCCAGGTTATTGGAGAGGAAATGAAGTAGACTCTCATAGCGTCAGTGCCAGAAGAGGTACGAACTATATTAATACGAAGGGTGTTAGTTTGGTGAAAAGCAGGTTTGAAATCTAAATAATAGAGGATGTTGTTAAGATTTAGAAGATTGGAAATATAGGGAAGGCAAAGAATAGACTTCTGGGTAGCCAGAATTTGTGAAATCGTATGGGTAGACAAGGCGAGAGAAGAAGCTTCGAACAGTGGAAGTTTCCGAGTCGAGCAACTGAGGGTCACAACTGCGGAAGACACAGAGATAGAGAAACGGGAACACCTTTCATGACAGATGGAGCATGTTAATAAAAGTTGTGAACGTGTATTTACGCTCTTTGCAGCTTCTCTTGCCTTGGCTACCTTACCGATGTCACAGATTCTGCTTACTCGCATACTAAAGGGATTTTTCACTCCCAAACTCTCGCCTCCTGTGAAATCTCCTGTTCTTTGCCTTTCCTATATTTCTAGTCTCCTAAATCTTATTATGAATACCATTTGTAGTAATATAGTTTGTACTTCTCCTGCCACTGATGCTTCAGGTGTCTACTCCATTTCCTGCTCCTCTTGTCCTCTCCAATAATTCGGAGAAACTGGCCACTCTCTTTCTGACAGACTTAAAGAGAACAAAAGAAGTGTCTACACAAATAATGTTTTTTTGCTGTCATGTTAGAGATTACAGTCATTTTATTAAGTGGTCCTCTGCTAAAATTGTCTGCTTTACTCTGTCCTTCACAGACGCCATCGTGTTGAAGAATTTTTATTCCTAACATTCCCAACATAATCTTAGTCGTGGCTTTGTCTATGTATATGTCTTCCTTTCTCATTTCATTGTCAAATGCTCTAAACTTCAGAACCCTTTAATTTGATGTTTATCTTCTCTCTTTACCTCTTCGCCTTTCCTCTATTTTCATTGCCTTTCCTGCCTTCTACCTATGTAAGTTCTGTCCTATGGGGGATTTGTCCCACAGGGATTTTGTCCTACACTCGTGGGCCAGTAGCTCTCAAGCAGTGCTCTTCTATTCTCTTGTTCCGGCAGATTACCTCTACTGTTACTACTACGATATCTACTATTTTTTCACTAATCCTACACGGCCAGTCATTATTTTATTTTTCCCCGGTTTTCTACTACTACTACTGTCACTACTACTACTACTACTACTGCTAGTAGTAGTAGTAGTAGTACTACCACCTATCTCTACCACTGCTGCAATATTCTACCACCACTACCTCTTCCACTACAGCTACTACTATTAATACTACTAATGCTACTACTGCTAGCACTACAGTTACCACTACTACTAGTACTACTACTACTTCCTCCTCCCATTCTACCACTCCTATCCCCTCGCCACCTCTCTTATACATTCTGAACATCTTCGCTACTCGCTTAGGTATGACTTGTTCATGCTTCCAGTGGGACCGAAACGTTGTCATAAGTTTCATTCTCCTAAGTGTGGGTTATCTGTGTGTTTTTAAAGCCACGGTATTTGGACTTTCTATTCTTTACCGGGATGCCACTGAAAACGTGAAACTGATTCCTACTCACCAGAGAAAAATAAAACATTATTAAGTAAAGTGAGCAGAAATTATGTGAAAATGAGGTTAGTTGACATGACTTTTTTGTCTCAGTGGCGTTACATCTCCACTGTTCTTCCGTCACGGTAAAGTAATGGACGCCTTCCATAATAACAGATTCAACTAGTTTGTTTTTTTGTAGCTGCAGTTAGTGCACTGAAACATTTCAGCAACTTATCCTTAACACTGCAACTCATGCAACAGCAATGCTAAAAAATATTAAAGGATTAATCGTGTGTGTACACACACACACACACACACACACACACCCCACACACACACACACCACACACACACACACACACACACACACACACACCTATATAAATATTATAAATATATATATATATATAAACTATATATATATATATATATATATATATTTTAATATAAATATATATATATATTTGCAATAAGATCACAGTAAACAGGTGATATTACAATATGCAGAACAACCACTGTGAAAAAAAATAGTGAAATTCCAAGCGCTTTCGTGACTTCTCACATTATCAAGGGACTATAAAAATGAAATATCAACAGGAAGGCATATCAGGACAAGACTACACCTCACAGTCACGTCACAACACCCGACTCTGTGAAACATAACTGATACTCTACCCAAGCATTAAGATTTTTTTTACTTGTCTAATGTATCATTAAATTCTTCCCAAATTTTATTAATTATAAAAGAATCAAATTTATCTAACCCAAAAGAAATATTTATATTATTTTCAAAATTGTTTTTTATGAGACATGATTCTATTATATTTCTGTCGATCATGGACTTGCTTAATACAACTTTCTCAGCCTTTGAAAATTAATTAATTTGATGGTTAAAATCTCTCACATGAATAAACAGAGCATTAGAATCTTGTCCACTTCCAATGTTATATTAATATTTTTTATCTAAAGTTCAGGACTTTTACCAGTTTGTCCGTAATAAACTTTATCTCATATTTTACAAGGAATCTTATAGACACATCCGTCAGCGTTTTGGTCGGAATTTTTAACCAAAGTTTTTTTTTTACTGTATCAAGATTTTTAAATACAACTTTGATATTAAAAGTCTTAAGAAGAGAAGGCATATCAACCAAGTTTTCATGGTAAGGGAGAACCAACATATTTTTAATTGAATAAGGTTGGTTGTCCCTTTTTGGATTGTAAAAGTATTTCTAGCAATTTTAAAAGATTTATTAATTAAGTTTCTTGGGTATTTTAGAACATTAGCTATGTCATAAATTTTTTAGAGTTTTCCTCTATGAATTCTAGTCTAAAAAATACGTAAAGTTCTCAAAAACACTGATGAGAATACCGACAGTTTAACTTTATCTTGATATGAAGAATAATAGTGTACATGGGAACAGTTATTTGTTCATTTTCTGTCAATTTTAAATTTAAAATCATTGTTACCCTTAATAATTAAAACATATAGGAAAGGCAATGAGTTATTTTCTTCGAACTTAACAGTAAAATTTAGAGAATGAGCTAAACTATTTAATTTAACAAGGAAATGGTTTATATCTATATTTTTAGGCATAAGACACAAAATATCAACATTTCTATACTACTTAGCTCTATCAGAAAGGTTTGTGTTAAGCAATCTTGTTTCAAAAAATTCCATGAATTAATTACTAAGAACAGGTGAGAGAGGATTTCCCATTGCCATACCAAACTTTTGAGTGTAAAACTCATCATTAAACACAAATTCTGCATCAACAATACAAAGTTTAATGACAGTGGGAACTAGCAATGATAAATCGAAATTAACAAATTCTTCAGATAAGGAACTTAATAAATCATCACCTGGAACTTTTGTAAACAAGGAAGCAACATCAAAACTAACCATATTGAAATCATTTAAGTCATTCAGTGAGCTTAATTTACTTTTGATGTTACCACCTTGTTCACAAAAGTTCCAGTTGATGATTTATTAAGTTTCTTATCTGAAGAACTTGTAATTCTTCCCTCCAGTATGACCTGCGTAACTCTAATCAAATAGCCCAGGTATAATGATGATTTATTATGGTAGTGAATGAGAAAAAGTACAGATAGTTTTTTGCTGTTTGATGGGGAAAGAGGGAAAGGGGGCTGAGGAGAAGCATGATGGATGTACACTATAAACTGCATCTAGACAAAAATTTTTTTGAATCTCACGATATCTTGGCAATTCTATCGTGTATCTAGGTGCAGCCTGACGGTGGTGAATGTCATGGCAGACCCCAATATATCATTCCTTTAGACAATGTTCTTAAACTCCTGTGATTTATCTTGCATGTTCTTATGTCTTAATACAGGTCGTCCACCTGTGGGTTTTGCATTTCTTCCCTTGGAATGTATAAGTCCCCCTTTTCTAAAATAAGCAGTGTCTCCTTATCCCCAATAAATTCATAATAACTTCAGCCAGACCTAAGATGGTGTCTCCCTCTTCTGGTGCCTTGCGTTATTCCTGCAACTCACCCTTTCATGTACTCCTTACCAGAACCCAGCCGTGAGATCCCTTCCCAAGACCCAGTTCGTCCTCAAGTCTGACCTCCCTCGACCGCCGAAACAGCCGGCCACCAACATGGAGACCTTGTCCATCCAGAGCCAGGTATACTGACGGCGGCGGCGACGCTGCTCCTTACTCCTCAGGGAGCATCTCTATAGCTTCCTCTTGGGGAACATACCCCTCCTTCTCAAGCTCTGTGAGAATTTATGTGGCTGCTAGATATACTAGTACTTGCAGTAATTTCACATCAATGCTGGCTCAATGAGGCCATTAGATCAATGTACTATAGTCAACGCATGAGGAAGTTGTAACATTTCTAACGTGGCCAAGCATGTGGCAGTACTAGATCTCTATGACCACAAGTGTATTTATAGAATAACTTACAGCTACAGTGTAAAAAAATAGCAAAACTTTAAAAATTTTAGCATTATCAAGTTTATGCCTTCATGTGTCTTAAGACAATTTAATATTAAGAAATTTCTGATAGACCTATTATATTTATTGTTAGCTGATCAGGTAATATATTCATCTGTAATTTTGTGAGATTGCCTGTTCAAACACCAGAAGTATATGTGATATGTACATCCTGCTGGGTGACATGTGATAAACTAAGTACCTTCTTCTCATTTCTCTCTGCATATACTTCTCACCTCTGGCCTGCCAAGGCCAGGTGCATGCTTCACTTCAGTAATAGAATTGTAAGTGCTGGTGTTTGGGGGCCTTAATATTATACAGTAAGGCATGAGTTTTGGTGTTACACAGGACAGGTGTTGCACTGTAAGTAAGGGACTCTCAACAGCGCCCCGACCCGGGTGTTGTTGAAGGGTGCAAAGTGTGTGGGTGAGGTGTTGCGAGCACTTATGTGGTGTGTGTTGTGTCGTGCAGCCATACCGTACGCTGCCTCTACTGCAGCCTTCAGCTAAGGTGCGTTCGGACCTGGGCGTGGGTAGTATCTCTCACCTCAAGATGCAGGAAGACCACATCTCGGGGGTGAAGGAGCCACAGTATGTGCCACAGTCTCAGGCCTTGGCGGTCAAAGCCAAGCACGACGAACTAATCATGAAGCAGAAGGTACGGAGGCCATCCGAGGCCGACCTGGGGAGTGTGGAAGGGCGAATAGAGGGAGAGGAGGAGGGGGAGGCCACACCATGGGGTTCCATAGTGCCCCAGGCAAAATATTTCGATCAGGGTGAGAGGGCGGGGAGCTGGCCACTAATATTACCACCAATGCAAAAAGATCCAACCGACCAGAGGCCGCACATTAAAAAAGAAAACCCAAATAGTGACTTTATGAAGATCAATAAAACAACGTTTAAAGTCGGAAGTGAGATAGTTGAACTTAAAAAGCCTAACTCGAATTGTCCTGCTGTTAATATTGCCGTTCATAAACCTCAGCTGAGGAAAAGTAGTGCCGGTAACATCCTCACAGTGGAAGACGAGGAGTGTCAGCAAGACCCGAGAATAGCAAATCGGGCGTCAGCTGGCCGGAGCAGGTCCTTGGAATACACTGTTCATACTAGTAGGTTGGAGGAGCTCAATGACCAATATTTGCTAACAGCAGAGAATGCGCAAAATCTCAACTACTATGTAGACGCAGAACCACAAAACCAAGAAGCCCAGTACACAGTTGAGTTAGAGGTGCCACAGGAGGAACCAGAGGTTAACACTGTGGAGGTGGAGCAAACCGTAAAATTAGCAACACCAGCTCCCGTCAGGCAGTATGTTCGTTCTGTAAATGTTGCCCAGACGGTCAGAATTAGACGCGACTATTACATATATTAGACTCTTTTCTCTTAGTGGCTAGCGAATAAGATTAGCATTTAGACGGTCTTGCAGATAGTCTTCCGGTGTTTAAATTTTGCAATTTTTTTTTTTTCTGTTGGTGGCATTTACGATAAAAGATTTTTTTTTTCAAGTCACGATCATGAAGACAATTAGCAATCTCTTTTCATTTCTTTTATGTTAAGGCAAAATTTATTTAAACTTGAACGTAATAGTTCTTCTCTTTGAAAACTTACTCGCGATTTGAAAAGATCGTAAACAAACTTTAGTTTGCTCTAGAAGGTTAGAAACGAGCAATTCTCAAAGTGATTATAAAATCTTTGCTTATTGTGATTAGATAGTTACGCTTATCAAATTTCTGAGTGCGCATGCGCAGAAATATATACACTGTATATATACAATGACAGATGCGCATCTTTCTGAGTTTATTTTTGTCCCTATTTTAAATATTAAAACATTCTTGGTGTTACTGACAAAGTGACTTACAAGGCTTTAAGGGAAGATAACGACTCACGCGTTACCCAAGAAAAAATAAACAAGTCTATAAACTTTTCTAAAAATTAGCATGCGTTCAAACTTTCGCTGGTGTTGCACTTGTTTGATAATCTAGAGCCCAGCAAGTCAAAGGTTTTAAAAAAATAATAAACGATAGTTCAACAGAACCACAGTGCGATATATTTCCACAAGTAACCCCTTTAAAAAGCGAACTCACAAGAGTCAGTTGATATTTGGATAGTTACGTTGAAGTTGGGTGGCAATGGACAGTCCATGCATCACGGCCCAACTGGTAATCTAACTTAGACCTTTCGGTTGTGAACAGAGCATCCTACCACTGAGCATATAGTCTTGCAGACACTTGTCAATAGAGCGCTGGTTAGGTGACATAGAAAGCGGGAGAGAACGCGCAAATGGACTGCTCGATCTTCATGTTATAAATAACACTACGAAGATGGAAGTATGACGCGGGTGTGACGTGATCCAGCAGGCTGTAATAGGTAGCTCGTAGTGAGGGTAGGGAGTGCCTGGGGAATGGGTGGGAGGGAGTACTTGGTAATGGGTGTGGTGCCTCCTCTCCCTCTGGTGATTGGCGCATTTCTGTTGACACCAGAATGTTCAGTTCTGCAATACCTAACCTACCGCCTTGTCCCTGACAAACTGGCACCCTTTGGTCCGTTCAGTAGGTCCAGCAGCATAACGAGTATGCCACGCAGTGTCATATGTTATGCCATACTGAGAGCCTCATTACTGAGCACGATACTATGCCCATAAAGTCTTAACTTAATTTTAAGGCATGGCATACTATATCACGCTGAGTGTGGAGCATACATGTATATATATATATATAAAATATATAATATATATATATATATATATATATATATATATATATATATATATTATTATATATATATATTATATATATATATATATATATATATATTAATATATTTATATATATAGTTATATATAAATATATATAATATATATATATATTATATTAATATGTATATTTATATATATAATATATAATAATATATATATAATATATATATATATATATATATATTATATGTATGTATGATGTATGTATTGTACCATCAATTAGGTGTGGCAAATTTGTACTATACTGGCTGTGGCACACATATGTACAGTAAATATACATTTAAATGTCTTTTCAATTTCACGTCATGTTGAGTGAGGCACACTTTGTAAATGCTCATGTGATTGTGCACGCATGCGTGTGCTAGGGTTGCACTGTTAATGACTCACTTAACATACCTTACAACTGGTTGCTTACCCAGCACTGTCTCTTCAAGACCAGCCGGGCGTCAGTGACCTGTCAAAGCCGTGCAACACGTTACTACGGCTCTGACCTAATATAAACAACAGAATAATCAGGTGATTGATGATGATGATGAAGTGATGGTGAGGTGGGTGAAGATGAGAGAGAGAGAGAGAGAGAGAGAGAGAGAGAGAGAGAGAGAGAGAGAGAGAGAGAGAGAGAGAGAGAGAGAAAGAGAGCGAGACAGACAGAGAGACAGAGAGAGAGAGAGAAACAGGACAGACAGACTGGCTATTTCCATCACTCGGGAGGTCAGGTACAGTTGTGTTGTGGTTCAGCTATCCCAGGCAATTTTATGTCACTCAGAGTATTATACAAAGCGGCTATTTCTGCCACACACTACCGCGAGCCCTCACACATTGTGAGGATGACAGCCCTCACACACTGTGAGGATGACAGCCCTCACACACTGTGAGGATGACACCCCTCACACATTGTGAGGATGACACCCCTCACACATTGTGAGGATGACACCCCTCACACATTGTGAGGATGACACCCCTCACACATTGTGAGGATGACACCCCTCACACATTGTGAGGATGACACCCCTCACACATTGTGAGGATGACAGCCCTCACACATTGTGAGGATGACAACTCTCACACTTTGTGAGGATGACAGCCCTCACACATTGTGAGGATAACAGCCCTCACACATTGTGAGGATGACACTCCTCACACACTGTGAAGATGACAGCCCTCACACACTGTGAAGATGACAGCCCTCATACACTGAGGATGACAGCCCTCACACATTGTAAGGATGACACCCCTCACACATTGTGAGGATGACAGCCCTCACACACTGTGAGGATGACAGCTCTCACACATTGTGAGGATGACAGCCCTCACACAATGTGAGGATGACAGCCCTCACACACTGTGAGGACGACAGCCCTCACACACTGTCAGGATGACAGCCCTCACACAATGTGAGGATGACAGCCCTCACACACTGTGAAGATGACAGCCCTCATACACTGAGGATTGGACAGCCCTCACACGTTGTGACGATGACAGCCCTCACACATTGTTAGGATGACAGCCCTCGCACACTGTAAGGATGACAGTCCTCACACACTGTGAGGATAACAGCCCTCACACACTGTGAAGATGACAGTCCTCACGCACTGTGATGATGACAGCCCTCACACATTGCGAAGATGACAGCCCTCACACAATGTGAGGATGACAGCCCTCACACATTGCGAAGATGACAGCCCTCACACAATGTGAGGATGACAGCCCTCACGCATTGCGAAGATGACAGCCCTCACACAATGTGAGGATGACAGCCCTCACACACTGTGAGGATGACACCCCTCACACATTGTGAGGATGACAACTCTCACACTTTGTAAGGATGACAGCCCTCACACATTGTGAGGATAACAGCCCTCACACATTGTGAGGATGACACCCCTCACACACTGTGAAGATGACAGCCCTCACACACTGTGAGGATGACAGCTCTCACACATTGTGAGGATGACAGCCCTCACGCAATGTGAGGATGACAGCCCTCACACACTGTGAGGATGACAGCCCTCACACACTGTCAGGATGACAGCCCTCACACAATGTGAGGATGACAGCCCTCACACACTGTGAAGATGACAGCCCTCATACACTGAGGATGACAGCCCTCACACGTTGTGACGATGACAGCCCTCACACATTGTTAGGATGACAGCCCTCGCACACTGTAAGGATGACAGTCCTCACACACTGAGGATAACAGCCCTCACACACTGTGACAGTCCTCACGCACTGTGATGATGACAGCCCTCACACATTGCGAAGATGACAGCCCTCACACAATGTGAGGATGACAGCCCTCACACATTGCGAAGATGACAGCCCTCACACAATGTGAGGATGACAGCCCTCACGCATTGCGAAGATGACAGCCCTCACACAATGTGTGGATGACAGCCCTCACACATTGTGAGGATGACAGCCCTCACACATTGCGAAGATGACAGTCCTCATACACTGTGAGGATGATAGGCCTCTGTGAGGATAACAGCTCTCACACATTGTGAAGATGACAGCCCTCACATATTGTGAAGATGACAGCCCTCACACATTGTGAGGATGACAGCCCTCACACATTTTGAGGATGACAGCCCTCACATATTGTGAGAATGACAGCCCTCACACATTGTGAAGATGACAGCCCTCACACGCTGTGAGGATGACAGCCCTAACACACTGTGAGGATGACAGCCCTCACACACTGTGAGGATGACAGCCCTCACACACAGTCAGGACGACAGCCCTCACACACTGTCAGGATGACAGCCCTCACACACTGTGAGGATGACAGCCCTCACACATTGTGAGGATGACAGCCATCACACGTTGTGAGGATGACAGCCCTCACACATTGTTAGGATGACAGCCCTCACACTTTGTGAGGATGACAGCCCTCACACATTGTG